ATAATTTTAGGCACATCTCCAAAAAGAAGAACAAACAGACAGAAGTGCAAAGAAGAAAATAGGAGGAAAGGCCTGAGGAGCTGCAACTAAGCACAGCTAGGTGAATAACAGCTATTTCAGAAGAAGTAAACCATTAATAAAAAATGAAACATTTGCTGCTGGTGTGGTAAGGATCACAGTAAAATGAGGAAGAGAATTAATGCATCAGAGCAAAACCAGCCTAGACTAGACTCTCACTAGACTATAAAAATTAATGGTAACGTAAGACTTGAAGAAAACAAACACCAAGATCCCACTTCTGAAGAGAACTATAAGTCTCACATTTAAAAAGCCAGCAACATGGGAACCACATCAGGAAAACAAAAGAAGCACAGCCCCAAGATCATCACGGCATCAGGCATGGATTTGGAGAAGGACCAGAGAAGGTATCCTCAGGACACGAGGCTCAGAGAAAGACCACTGGACACCAATACGCCAAGTCTTTAAACTTCAAAACAAACCAGGGTCCTAAAACCTACCAGAAAGTAAGGAAAAATGACACAGAAGAGAATACAAAGGTAACTACCTAGTTAACTGTTTTTTCTCAAGTGCAAAAACAAAATTGTTGAAACTGGGAGGTCTGTAGGAATCTGGCCACATCTTTACAGCTGCAAAAATATAGGAAAAAACAGAGATATGGTTGTCAAGAGACATACTTCTTAGAAATCAGTGGATAAATGGACTTACAAAGGGCAAGGTTAATAACATTAACTAAAAACCAACCTTGGGGAGGAATAGCGATTGAACAAATAAGGGAAGCTAGTGCTCACTATCAAAATGCACACGTAACATAACTGCAGTTACAACAGTTATTGCTTTATGTAGGAAATAAAAAAAATTGCTAGCAGTCCACCTAAACCAAAGTCTTAAATAAATAATAAAATACGTTGGAAATTCCCTGGCCGTCCAGTGGTTAGGACTCGGCACTTTTACTGCCATGGCCTGGGTTGAATCTCTGCTCAGGGAACTAAGATCCTGCAAGCCATGCGGCGCAGCCAAAAATAATGATGATGATGGTAATAATAATAATAATAAACATACATTAAAATATAGGAAATAGAACTACTCAGTATGTTAGGTATCACTTTAATCGTTATTAAGGAGTTTCACTCAAATAATAAACTATTAAGTAGGTAAGTAAATGCGTTGGGATATAAACAATCCAATATTGTCTCTAATCTCAAGTGGCATAGAGTCTAGTAAAGGAAATTAGTCAGGATATGTCTAGATAAAAGGGATAAATGCCATTAGTAAGGTATAGCTCAAGAATTATGGGAGTTGGGGGGGGGGGAAGATCACTTCCGGTAAGGGATTCTGGGAAGCTTTCCTGGAAAAGGTGGCATCTGAGATGCACCTTGGAAAATGGGTTGGAGACTCAGATCAACCCATATGGAAGGACTGGGGGAAAGAGAATCCGGCATGGACCTGAGCAGAAACTCTTAAAGGTCACGATGCACATGAAAAATAGCAAGCGCTTCAGACTGACGGCAGTTTACAATGCATGATCAGTAAGGCTAGAAAGTTAGGTTGGAACCAGATCACACGAGGTCTTAAGTATCAGGCTGTGAAGTTTGGTCTGAAATAAGGGAACTAGATAAAGAATAACCTTATAGTAATGTGTACAATAGACAGAAAATGCCTGAACTAACTATGGTGATGGCAGTAGGAATGGAGTGGAGAGGACCAATCCAAAGGTAAAAACCAACATGACTTGATTCATCAAAGGTTTACTATGTATTGATTATCTACCCAGCATCAAAGGAGCTCCCAGGGGTACAAAAATAAGGAAGATATATATTTCTGACCTAAAAGGATTAAGTAGGGGAAAAATCAGAGAAGAGTCAATGATGACATCAAAGTTTCAATCCTAGAGAAAAGAGCAAGAAGGAAGTACCATCAACAGCACACAGAAACATGGGTGAAGGAACAAATCAGCAGGGGCAGCTAAATACGGAATGTCTACTCTGAGCCTCTGGTACCAGCAGGAAATCTAACCAAACAACAGAACCCCAAGCGTAGGTGGAGGTGGAGGGAGGCCAGGACCAGAGAATGATCATGGAAGTGACAGGTATGTCATTAGATTTTATTAAACTACTAAGGACAAGTTCTTGAATGGGGTTGGGAGAATTAAATAAAGAGAGTGGGAGAAGAAGGAAACCAGTGGCACGAAGCCTAAGGAGAATTTCAAGAAAGGGAACAATAACAAAACCGACAGGTTGTACAGCGTAAGAATCTCTAGGAGGTTAAGGTTAGTGGGACCCTCCGAGGGCAGCGAGGTTTTTAGGAAAGTGAGTGGTCAGGAACGAAGATGCTGGGCCAATCCTTAAGAAGTCTGGTAATCCAGGGAGGGAGAGAAGCTTCAAAAACAGCAGAAGCTAGAAAAGGTCCTTTTCTTTGTGCATCATTTTTTGCTACTTTTTCCTTTAAAAAAAAAAAAGAGGAAGTCAACATGATTATTGGCTGTGAGAAAAAAAATTAAGTGGATGTGAAATATTAAAGCAAAAGAGAGAAAGAGGATTAATGATGAAGCACAAATAAGGGATCAGTATTAAGATTATAAATGACAAGTCTAGTCTTGGAGAAGAGAGACAATTCTTCCTGGGATTAAAAAAAAAGACAGAGTAAGCAGTATTGTTTTTAATAGAACAGTGCTCACACATGACTTTCTCAGTAAAGTACGAAGCAATAGCTTCAGTGGCGATATCAGGTTTATAGTTCATATATTGGGGAAAAGATGAGAAGAGGCACCATGGACACTAGGATACAATAACAATTAGATTTTTTTTTTAATTCCACGAAGTTCATGAGAATATAAGAAGGCAAACCTCAACCACAAACTTCCTATTGGGGTGAAATAGAAAAAATAAATGCTGAGAAGTGGCTCAGTTAAAGAAATACTGATGTTAAAATTTTTAGGAAACAAAAATTAAATAGGCAAACTGAAGGCATTCAGTCAAATGCCCCTTAGATATTCTAGATTTTTTTATCATAAGCAGATATTGCTTATTCAAAATTATAAGGACACTTTTAATTTTAAAAAGACCTAGTTCTTAAAGCACTTCAAGCTTCAGGTTCCACAGGAGCAGAGACCCTACCTGGTTTTATTCATCTAGTACAGGGCCTGGCTTAGAGTAGCTTCTCCATAAATATCTGTTAGATGTTGGCTGACGTTTTATATAGTCCCACAAAAGCTACATGAAGAGAAAGACAGAGCACAGACTAAGCATGCAAGGTGGCAGAGGTCTACAGTGAGTTGAATGGTGCCCCTCTGCGCCCCAAATTTGTCCACACCTAAATCTCCGGAACCTGTGAATGTGACCTTATTCGAAAAAAAATGGGTCTTTGCAGATGTAATTAAGTTAAGCATCTTCAGATAAGATCACTCTAGATTACCCAGGGGTGCCCTAAATCGAGTGACAAGTATCCTTGTAAGGGAGAGAAGGCACAGAGGAGAAGACCATGGGAAGACCAAGGCAGAGACTGGAGTCACATAGCCGCAAGCCAAGGGAACACCTGGAGCCATCAGAAGCTCAAAGAGGCAAGGAACGGAATCTTCCTTAGAGCCTTCTGAGGGAGCACAGCCCTGCCACCACCTTGATTTCAGACGTCTAGCCTCCAGAAACTTGAAAGAATAAATTTCTGTTATTTTAAGCCACTCTGTTTGTGGTAATTTGTTACGGCAGCCCTAGGAAACTAATACAAGTTTCGTATAGCTAAACTATAATACCAGGTTAAATGGGCTAATTTCCCCTATAAGACAAAAGATCACAATAAGAATCTCATAACAGATAATGGATGCAAGGGCCATCTGTGCAAAAGTGAGCAAAGCTGAAGTTTCTATTTAGATAAACAAAGCATAGATATACGCAAGGTCGCCACATAACAGTAAAATATATAATAAATAATAACAACACATTGTATTGGTAGATTATAAAGAAGAGAGATAGTAATTGCAAGTGATGACTAATTAATTAGAATACTAATAAAAATACTACAAACTTAAGAAATTCAATAACAAAACAAAAACAAAGGAGTTGCAGCAGTATTATGAAGTATTTCAAACATACAAAAAAGATTAGAATAGTAAAATAAATATTCTTTACCTAATACCCAGTCTTAATAAATCTTAACATTTGGTCAAACTTACTTCTGAATTTTTTTAAAGGAATAAAATATTTCAGATACAGTTGAAGCCTCTATAGACCTCCTACTTGGCCTTTATTCTCCTCCTCCCTCCCACCTCAAAGGTAACCACTGTTCTAAAGTTGAGTCTATCATTCCCATGTGCCTGTTTATACATAATAGATTTGACATATTTAACACTTGCATACATAGCAATTTGCTGTACATTTATTCTACACTTTTTTTTTTTACCCAACATATTTTTTGAGACTTATTTCTGTTGACGCACACAATTCTAGTTCATTCATTTTAACAGCTAGTAACTATTATAACTCTCCTATGAATGGGCATTTACTTTGTTCTTTATCTTTTGCTATAACAAACAATGCTACAAGGAACTTCCTTGTACATGTCTCCTCATACATATACTAGAATTCCTCCAGAGTATAGTCCTAAAAAAGCAACTTTACTCAGTGTTCCTTCTTTTTAAAAACTCTTTTCCTTTGGTAAATAACGTTTATTATAGCATAACAGTATTCCCATATTTAGCAGATGAATCTGACTGGAGATATCTTTATGATGCTTTCTGTGGAAAAAGACTAAATTCTGTATTAAATTCTGTTCTGGAAATTCCCTGGCGGTCCAGTGGTTTGGACTCCATGTTTTCACTGCCAAGGGCCTGGGTTCAATCCCTGGTCAGGGAACTAAGATCCTGCAAGCTGCATGGCACAGCCAAAAAAAAAAAAACAAAACAAATTCTGTTTTAAGTCATCTCAGACTACCTGGTTAGCAAAGACATTTGATGCAAAAAGCAATACGTCTCATTAATGAGAAATTACCTGTATAATACTTTTAGAAGACATAACTGCCTGATTATAGAATATGCGGCCAAAGTGATCTCGATCTGGAAATACTTCTGCTTGTCGAGGTAAGTTTGCTCCTCCCGAATCAACTGAAGAGAAATAAGTACATCTCAATGAACAAAACATGCTACACACAGGAAGACTTATCTCAATGATAACATCAGTTCTTTTTTTTTTTGCAGTACGTGGGCCTCTCACTGCTGTGGCCTCTCCCGTTGCGGAGCACAGGCTCCAGACGTGCAGGCCCAGTGGCCATGACCCAGCCGCTCCGCGGCATATGGGATCCTCCCAGACCGGGGCACGAACCCGCGTCCCCTGCATCGGCAGGCGGACTCTCAACCACTGCGCCAGCAGGGAAGCCCAAACATCAGTTCTTAATTACATTCGCAAAAAACTTGCCCTATCTTTCTAAACTCTTCTACAGCCTCTTTCTCCAATCTTTCAACACAGCCTCCAAAAATGTACTGTTTTCTTCAAACACATTAGGCTCTCCTACCCCTGTGCAGAATTCCACTTGAAATGTTTAGGACATTCTCTCCCTTGAGGATTAGCCCCAGAAACACCAAAACTCCTTAACCAGTTCAGCTAAAATTGGATCTTTCTCTCTTTTAAAACAATCTGAAAATCATCTACAGAATTCATGTGATAATTTTATTGCACATTGCCTCTGGTACTCTTTTTACTGCAGATTACAGTGGTGGATAAGAATGTCAGCTGAGTTCAAAACAGAGCTTCATTACTTCACAGCTGTGTGATCACAGGTGTGTTTCCGAACTAGTCTACTGTCTCGGTCTCCCCACCAGTGAAATGAAGGTAACAGTGGCTATCCCGTAGGGTTGTTACTGGGATGACAGGAAATAGTGTATGTGAAGCACTCAGCTCAGCACATACTGTGAGTGCACAGAGTGAACGTTACAAAAAGTTAGCTAGTCTTATACCTATCACTCTTGCCTGCAACCACTAAGTCTTCTACTGATACTTAATACATTAAAGACAGGGACAACACAATACTCTTCACTGCATCCCCTACAGTGTTGGGCACAGCACCTGCAAGCAGTGGGGCCTCATTTGCTGGTTTCTATACGTGCAATGCAGTTCACACTCTGAATCAACGAGGTAAATTCACTTTCATAGGAGAAAAAAATCTCATCAGTACCTGTTCAAATAGCCATAAAAATGAACAGTATATACTGGTGTTTTTACAAACCAATTTAAGCCAATATGCAGGAAGTACCAATTTTAAACTGCCTTGCTTTTATGTCTTTTTAAAAATATCCTTAGATTTAAATGTACTTTCATTCCAAATATAAATTTACTTTCACTGAATATTAAATTTCTTTAAATTACATCTGCTCAAACTATGTACATAATCAAGCATTTAACCTAGTACCTGGCACTCAAGAGACCCATATATATTAGCTATTATTTTTTCATGGTTTGAACCCATTATGGTGAACAGAAAAACAAAATATTGGGTTGGTCAAAAAGTTCATTCGTTTTTTTCCACAACATGGTTCTAACTAGTGCTTAGTTGACTTTAACTTCATTCGAAACAATTTTGTTAGATTGTATTGTGACAGCTGTCATATCAGCAGCGCATTTAAAAAAAAACTTATCAAAATTGGTGAATTTTTGTGTAGCCATTTTAATACTGAAGATGGAAGAAAAAAGGCAACATTTTCGGCATATTATGCTTTATTATTTCAAGAAAGGTAAAAACGCAACTGAAATGCAAAAAAAGATTTGTGCAGTGTATGGAGAGGGCACTGCAACAGATCAAATGTGTCAAAAGTGGTTTGCGAAGTTTCGTGCTGGAGATTTCTTGCTGGACGACGGTCCATGGTCAGGTAGACCAGTTGAAGTGGATAGCAATCAAATCGAGACATTAATTGAGAACAGTCAGTGTTATACCACACGGGAGAGAGCTGACATACTCAAAATATCCAAATTAAGTGTTGAAAATCATTTGCACCAGCTTGGTTATGTGAATCGCTTTGACGTTTGGGTTCCACGTAAGTTAAGTGAAAAAAACCTTCTTGGCTGTATTTCTACATGCGATTCTCTACGTAAACGTAATGAAAACATGCCATTTTTAAAACAAATTGTGATGGGCGATGAAAAGTGGATACCGTACAATAATGTGGAATGGAAGCGATCGTGGGGCAAGGGAAATGAACCACCACCAACCACACCAAAGGCTGGTCTTCATCCAAAGAAGGTGATTTTGTGTATATGGTGGGATTGGAAGGGAGTCCTCTATTATGAGCTCCTTCTGGAAAACCAAACGATTAATTCCAACAAGTACTGCTCCCAATTAGACCAAATGAAAGCAGCACTCTAGGAAAAGCGTCCAGAATTAGTTAACAGAAAAGGTGTAATCTTCCATCCGGATAACGCAGGACCCCATGCTTCTTTGATGACCAGGCAAAAACTGTTACAGCTTGGCTGGGAAGTTCTGATTCATCCACCATATTCACCAGACACTGCACCTTCGGATTTCCATTTATTTAGGTTTTTATAAAATTCTTTTAATGGAAAAAATTTTAATTCCCTGGAAGACTGTAAAAAGCACCTGGAACAGTTTTTTGCTTAAAAAAATTAAAAGTTTTGGGAAGATGGAATTATGAAGTTGCCTGAAAAATGGCAGAAGGTAGTGGAACAAAATGGTGAATACATTGTTCAATAAAGTTCTTGGTGAAAATGAAAAATGTCTTTTATTTTTACTCAAAAACCAAAGGAACTTTTTGGCCCACCCAATATATAGAAGAAAAAAACACCACTCATGTAGAGAAAAAAATGGCAAACCCCAAAATACTGTCAGGGATTCTTCCTCAGTGATGTTATTATGGGTAGTGCTTGTTTACTTTTTCTCCCAGAGTTTTTAGCAAAGAATGTGCATCTCTTTTGTAATTATAAGAGAAGCCAACAGTTTTTTAAAAATATCCATTGATAACGTCATATATATATAGTCTTCTAAACAATCTTATTATTTTTCTAGCTAATAACAGTTTATTTTACAATTCTCGTGACTTGCCCAAGTAAATGCAGGGGAGCCTGTTTTGCATTGCAATTTCTTGTGCCCGTAAGTGTTTCTTCACAGTCACCGGGTAGTAGGTACCTCCTTTGACAGTGGCATCATTGGCAACAATAATGCATTCTACTCTGAAAGGCAGAAATTTCATCGGAAAGAGAACGTGAGAGAGTTCTTCAAAGTAAAGACCAATTGCATCTCATTACAAGACACTCCCAATACAGCCTGGCAATTTCTAGTACATATCCCCAGGGACAGCCATTAGTAGACAATCTTATGATATAAAAGTTTTAATCACTGTTCACATATTTATTTATATAAAATGAATCACTTTTAATAAGTTTACAAACTCTAACTTGATTTTTAAAGAATCATCACCCCATACTAGTAGAGGAAAACTAACAACCTAAGCCACATTTTGTAATGGTTCTTTGAAGGAAGGGGTCCTAACAAGATAATACAAGATAATACAACAACAAGGAATCCAAGTCTCAGGGTGAGAAAATCCCACATGGTAAACCTTTAAAATTTCCTTTTAGGAAGGTAATTTTCAAAAAGGAAAACTGATCCATCAAAAGTATTTATTTTTCATATTTTCTTCATGTCACTGCCATATGCTTTTCTATAAAACTAAAAGAAGTTTAAAGTACAACACTTATCTTGCTTAAAGGAACAATAGGTACAAACTTTAAAATAGTAGTCTGAAAGCATATACTATAATGAGACATTAGTGGTGCCCTTTCTCACCAAAACCAGCCTGTCAGGTACCATGGCTCACAAGTAACACGCAGGAAGCAGGGAAGTGAATGAAGAGGGCCAGTAAGGGAGCCTGCTTTGTATTGCCAGGAAACCCAAAGATCAGAGGCTCACTTGAAACTGGAGAGAAGAACAGTGTGGTCTTTACAAAATTTAATCTTTATATTTATGATGTTTTTGTTACCTCACTTTATATTCTCTAGAATTCTAAAAAGAAACTTATTGAATCCTTGCTGAAAATGAAGTAGAGAACAGCAACTGAGCACACAGCCTCAGGTAGTGTTGTACTTCTTTTATTAGGGTATGTGGCTCCTCTCCTTTGAGCATCAATTTTATTCACTAGGTTATATATAAAGCCTTTTCCCACATTATAATTAACATTTTATAGAGTGGGATGTACATTTCTAATGACTTTAACATTGAACAAACTAGACTTCAAAAGGAATTTAGGCTTTGGCGGGTGCTGGGCCATACCCCCCACACCTCCAGAGTATGGTCACTCCTCCGTCCTGGGGATGCTGCACTAGAAAAGCTTAAGAAGCTCTGGTACAGGAAAGAGCCCAGACTATGAAGTCAGACAAAGCTAGGCTGAAATTCTGACTCTGCCACTTGCTATATATACGACCTTGGACAAGAGACATAACCACTTTTACTTGTCTTTTTAAAAGGTCACAGACATGTTACAGAATGAGAAATAAAATTAGTCCACAAAAATACTGTATTAGACATCTATTGGTTTTGCCTACCCAGCATCTATTATTTTGGCAACAAAACTAAACTTTCTTTCAGAAACTGCCCTTTCTCTATTTTTGATCCCTGAGGTTCTAGCGGGACTGACTCCAAAGCCCATCTTCAGATGTGAGCACAAGGACCAGGCCTTTCTACTCAGCGTCCACGCCGTGGGCTGAGCAATGGGCTCTGGTCCCAGGCCTTCACCCTCAGGAGCTCTCAGCCCACTGCAGCTGCTAAGCTTAGAGCGCAGAAGCTGGGGATGCCTGTGGCCAGCTCGGCCTGCCTAGGAACAAAACCAAAACCCAGCCTGTGACCTGGTAACACCGTTTGTGCTCCTCGACCCAGCTAGGCCCAGACTCATCAGTTAAGAGAGTCAATAAATTCTTTTTTGGTTTTAACTAGTTTGCACATCTATCATCTGCCAGAGAAAGAGTGCTGACCATATTCAACCATATGATTATGTAAGAAAGGTCAATTTCAATTACTATGAAGTACTACTTTAGACCTTTTAAACGAGTGAATTCTTTTTCAGTCATACTATCCAACACTAGAGCAGCTCTAGTGGAAAGATAAAATCAGTCTTGCCCTGGCCCTTGCCTCCATGGAATCTCAACAGCTAAAATGCACACACTCCATAGATGAATCTAACACATGTCTGGGTAGGAAGCCTCAGTCCTAAATAATATCACGAGCATAAAACTCACATGCTCACATGCAGAGCAGTGAGTGCTGGACACCCTGCCTCTTCGGCCTGCTTCCTGAACCACATGGCTGAGTGCGGGCAGAATACTCACCCTGACACTCTCCCAATGCCTGTAATAATGCCACCGGCAGGGACCTCCTCATCACCATACAACTGGTAACCGGCAAACTGGGATAATTCCAGGAATGGAGACCTGAACGGAAGAAAAGATGTTGCTTGAATTAATGTCGTTTTTCAAAAAATCATATTTAAACAGTTAACACGTGGAAAAGGAAATTTTCTTCTTTAATGGGGCAATGTTTCAAATATGCGTGTTGGACATAAAATCTACAAAAAGAATGTCAAAAACAAAATCTAGGGGACTTCCCTGGTGGCGCAGTGGCTAAGAATCCGACTGCCAATGCAGGGGACACGGGTTCAAGCCCTGGTCCAGGAAGATCCCACATGCCGCGGAGCCACTAAACCTGTGTGCCACAACTACTGAGCCTGCGCTCTAGAGCTCACAAGCCACAATTACGGAAGCCAGTGCGCCACAACTACTGAAGCCCGCGTGTCTAGAGCCTGTGCTCCACAACAAGAGAAGCCACCGCAGTGAGAAGCCCACGCACCACAACAAAGAGTAGCCCCCGCTCGCCGCAACTAGAGAAAACCCACGTGCAGCAATGAAGACCCAATGCAGCCAAAAATAAAGAAATAAAATAAATTTAAAAGAAAAAAAAAATCTAGTGTGACCACCCTGGGGATTTATACAGTATAGCCATACAAAGGAACACTAGGTTCTTATTTTTAAAGATGTTGTACAGATGTGTTTATTAATATAGAAAGAAAATAGCACCTAACACTTACGTAGCACCTACCACATGCCAGCCTCTCTCCTAGGAGCTTCAGAAACACTAACTCATTCATTCCTCAGAACTACCTCCTGATATGGACCCTATTATGATCCCCACTGACTGATGAGGAAACTGAAACACAGAGATTAGGTCAGTTGTCTAAGGTCACACAACTACTAGTAAGTGGCAGAGCTGGGTTTTAATAAGCTCCGTAATAAGGGACCAGGCTCTTAACCACTGTATTATTGTCACTTAAATGTTCAGGATACACTGGGGGGATGGGGGACAGGGGTGGGCAGGGAGTTATAAAACACCACATTTAGTATGATTCCATTTTTCTTTAAAAAAAAAAAAGTGATTCACATTTGCATAAAAACAGTGTAGAAGGATACACACTAGGTGTTAGCGGTGTTTGTCTCCAGGTTGGGCGTCTGTGTGCATGTCCCCCGAAACAATACTTTTGAGCCTTCATTTCTCTCTCTAACTGGTCTTTTTTTTTTTTTTATGATTTATTTATTTGTTTGTTTATTTATTTATTTATTTTGCTGCGCTGGGTCTTAGTTGCAGCATGTGGGATCTAAGTTCCCTGACCGGGCCCCTGCACTGGCAGCCCAGAGTCTTAGCCACTGCACCACCAGGGAAGTCCGTCTCTCTAACTGGTCTTGGTGCTTCCACCCTCAAGGCCCACAGTCTACTCACAAGACAACAGCCAGAATAACTTTTTAAAACCTAAGTCAGATAAGTCCTACAAAATCTCCCCATTTCTGTCAGAGTAAAAGCCCAAACTCTTACACTGGCCTACAAAACCCTTACCAAAATCACGCATCTCCTGCTACTCCCCCGTGTATTCCCACCACCCCACCACCTTCCAGTCCCTTCCATATCACCATCTGTGACCTGTCCCCACTGCAGAACCTTCGCACTGAACACTCCCCTCCGCCTGCAACGCTCTCTCTCCCCAGATATTCAGAGCCCATCTCTCTTCACTCCTTCCAATCTTTGCTCAAATGTCACCACCTCAATGAGGCCTATTCTAACCACCTCATTTGAAACTACAACTTGACCTTCATCTTTCTCTCCCGTACGCTGGTCTTTTCTTTTTCCCATGACATTTATCACCTTCTAACATACTATATAATTTATGACACTTATCGTTTATTTTCTATCTCCTCCTGCTACAATGTAAATTCCAGTAGGGCAAGGAACTTTGTCTATTTTGTTCAGTGATGTGTCACTAGCACCTAGAACAGCACCTGACACACAGTAGCCTCGCAATAAACATCTGTTGTTGAATCTTATGATAAGAACCAGAATTTAAAATCATTTATTTATAAAACTATCTAAGATGGGAATTCCCTGGCGGTCCAGTGGTTAGGACTCTGCACTGTAACTGCCGAGGGCCTGGGTTCAATCCCTGGTCGGGGAACTAAGATCCTACGAGCCACATGGCACGGCAAAAAAACAAAACAAAACAAAAACAAAAAAAACTGTCTAAGAAAGCACCATGGAATAGAGAACACCCTGAGCCAGCACTTGGGTATGTACCAACCCTGGGTCTATAAGATTGTCAACTCTTTCTCTTGGTAACAGTTTTCCTCTTGATATGTGACGTGCTCGGGCTTTCTCACCACCTCCTGTGATAAAAAATATGATTCGATTAGATGAATTCATTATAAGGTCTCCATTTAACTTAATATCAGAAAAACATATAACACTTAATCCAAAATATGGTACTTTTTAAAAAATTTAACATATCCTGTGAAAAACAGCTAATTTTTCAGATCATTGAAACTGGCATTTTTAAAAATCAATCTATCCCTGAGCCCACAGTATATTATACATTTTCTAAATTCAGTAGTAATTACTTAAGGAAATAATGCAGTACTTTTCTCTGCATCTCATACATTGCAAATACTGTCTCATCTCCACCACACTTATTACACCTACTATAAATACTAGCACTGTCCTATATGCTATGTGAAATTTGAAAAGTTCCTAACTTCATTTGTACCAGGTAAAAAGCATTATTTTAGAAATGATTTCCATAATAAGCACAAAAAAACTTAGCTAAAGGTGCTATTTTTAGGCCCACAAATAGGAGAGAGTTGAACACCTTATATAGCAATTTAAAAGTCCCCCTTTGTTAGTATCCTGAATCAGAGATGATCTTCCGTGTTTCCTGACATTGCTCCAGACTAAAGGAAATTACAATAATTGAAGAGTCCGCTGGGGTAACCAACCCAGTGAGGCTGCTTGAGGTGAGGGGTACACCAAACCTCACCCAGCCTGAGAACGGCTGGGTTCGGTACCTGGGGAATATCCACAACCCACTCTCAGCAAACCACGGTAAATAATCAGAACAGATGATAAAATTGTACCTTAATATATTTACCTTCACTGTTGCCCAAGAATTCCATCTTAATATACTCCTTGTCTACTGAAATGTTCAGCTGTTGAAGAAAGCTATTTGTTTTTTAGGTGAGAAAATAAGTTCATACAGATTTCAAACAAGCCTCCAAGTAGCACAACATTATTTTCAAATCAGGACTTTCCTATGTCTAAGGGGATTTTTTTTTTTTCTGAAAAGGTAGAGGGTATATTTTTAAGACTAAATCTGCCTTAAGGTAACCAAGAAAATCGTAACATGCATCTAATCTTTTAAAATGAAAATTATTCTGGGAGGGAAAGCCTTACAAGATAGTATGAATTAAATCAAACAGCTTTCCTCTTTTCTCCAGAGTGTCCTACTGAGGTGTGTATAGTTATAGGAGAGAAGGAGGACGAGAGAGTGACAAAGGGCAGAGGAAACTTCTGAGAGTGACACATTCATCGTCTTGATTGTGGTGACGGTTTCACGGATGTATACATATATCAAAACTCATCAAACTGTAAGCTTTAAATAATGCAGCTTACGGTATATCAATTATACCTTAATAAAGCTGTTTAAAAGTTAAGTATTAAAGAAAAATAAACCTAAGACACTGCAAAGAAGACCAGGCTTGGGTGAGGGTCTTTGGAGAGTTTGGCGACATAAGCGTCCACTAAGGGGATAGCAGGAAAAAGCATGGCAGGGGAGGGTGGGATGAAAAAGAGATAAGAAAACATATCTGTGTTTTGTTTTGTTTTGTTAGTACTTAGAGCAACACTATTCTTAATTCTGCCTAGAGCTTCACTTTGCTATTCCGAGCACCTAGTGAATTCTGTTTTTATTAGGAAAAACCAGAAAGAGTGCTATCCTTGATACAGATTCTCAGGTCACAGAATTCAGCTCCTCTGGCATTTAAACTGGCCTAGGATATGTGGACCACCACAAAAAGACAGAATGTCACAGCACCTTAGTTTTCCAAGGATTACTCTTAAAAGATTTTGCTTTAACTATCTCCACTCTCACAGACTCAGAGCCAGAAAAGCCTGATGTTTTCCTTCTATCTCATTTACCACATTGCACTGATTCTAAAACACACATTTTGTTCACATTTTAACATCCCTAAAATCAGGAAGCATTTTACAGTTTATAGCATCTTTTCATCTCTGTCACCAGGGGGCAGTCGCGACATAGCTGTCTGCCTCTGGGTGCATAGCTCAAATGTCTAACTGTGGTCACTTCAACGGTGCTATATGCATTGCTGGAACTACCTGCATGCAGTTTAACTTGAATTTTCAAATGTTTTCAAAAACTACACAAGCCTTAAACAACAAGGTCCTACTGTATAGCACAGGGAACTATATTTAATATCCTGTAATAAATTGTAATTGAAGAGAATATGAAAAATGTATATATATATGTATAACTGAATCACTTTGCTGTACAGCAGAAATTAACATGACATGTAAATCAACTATACTTCAGTAAAATAAATTTTTAAAAAAACTACACAAGCCTTATCTTAAGGTCATTAAAAGACCCCTTTTCAACCACCAAAAACTACTTGTGTTTTTCTATATCAATAAAGTTATTACCCAGTTTTAGAAAAACTAAGCACTTCTGAATCTATCAAAACACTTAGAGCCCTTCAGTTAACTTGTGTTAATCAAAGTACTTAGTTCTGGCTACCACGAATAACACAGCTGGGATAATCCTTGTTCCACCTACAGAAATGACTAAGCCACTCCTAGCAATCCTACATGCTCCAACAAGAACCAAAGGGGATAGCAAAGACGGTGCCCTGAGAAATCTGAAACAAAGGTAGCAGTGAGGCAGAAAGAAAGGAAAAGACAAAAAGGAGGACAAGAGTCCACTCATTATTGTCAACCTTTTTATTTATCACAAGTTCTATCAAATGAAAACTTCAAGGATTAACTTTCAAAGCAACCTGAAACACTGTCACTCCTTCTTATCTGAAAATTACTTAGGAAATCTTACGAATTTTAAAGTCAGGATGGGGCTTCCCTGGTGGCACAGTGGTTAAGAATCTGCCTGCCAGTGCAGGGGACGTGGGTTCGAGCCCTGGTCCGGGAAGATCCCACATGCCGCGGAGCAACTAAGCCCATGTGCCACAACTACTAAGCCCATGTGCCTAGAGCCCGCGCTCCGCAACAAGAGAAGCCACCACAATGAGAAGCCCACACACCGCAACAAAGAGTAGCCCCTGCTCGCCGCAACTAGAGAAAGTCCACATGCAGCAAAGAAGATCCAATGCAAACAAAAATAAATAAATAAAATAAATAAATTTAGTTTTAAAATAAATAAATAAATAAAAGTCAGGATGTCTACACAGGTGGCCAACAGGCACATGAAAAGACGCTCAACATCGTTAATTATATATTAGAGAAATGCAAATCAAAACTACAATGAGGTGCCACCTCACGTCAGTCAGAATGGCCATCATTAAAAAGTCTACAGACAACAAATGCCAGAGAGGGTGTGGAGAAAAGGGAGCCCTCCTACACTGTTGGTGGGAATGTAAACTGGTGCAGCCACTGTGGAAAACAGTATGGAGGTTCCTCAAAAAACTAAAAATAGAGTTGCCATATGATCCAGCAATCCCACTCCTGGGCATATATCTGGACAAAATATATATATACACACACAATGCAATACTACTCAGCCATAAAAAAGAATGAAATAATGCCATTTGCAGCAACATGGATGACCTAGAGATTATCACACTAAGTGAAGTAAATCAGAAAGACAAATACCACATATTAATCTAAAATACGATAAAAACGAACTTATCTACGAACAGAAACAGATTCACAGACACGGAGAACAGACTTGTGGTTGCCGAGGGAGGAGGGGGTTGGAGAGGAATGGGTTGGGAGTTTGGGATTAGCAGATACAAACTATTACATATAGGATGGATAAACAATAAGGTCCTATTGTATAGCACAGGAAACTATATTTAATATCCTGTGATAAACCATAATGGAAAAGAATATGAAAAAGAATGTGTGTATATATATACATATATATATGCATAACTGAATCACTGCTATACAGCAGAAATTAACACAACATTGTAAATCAACAATACTTGAATAATATAATTTTTTTAATGTGTTTAGAGGTATTACTGATAGGTGATATTTTGTTCTTTTCTTCTTTATACTTTTCTCTATTTTCCAAAATTTCTATAAGTATAATATATATATTATATAACATAAGCATATATTACTTTTAAATTATACATATCTGTGTAATATCCATTTTCCTGGCATAACAGTACTAGTCCCAGGCAACACTATGAAGAAGGCTTTGTCCTTTCCTGGCTTCCCTCCCAAGGAGCCCTGCTCAGTCGTCTTCCCCTTTAGAGACCAGAGCGTCAGATGATCAGAACCTGCCATCCCCAGCAGATGCTCAGTGCTGGAGGACTCTACCACCTCTTATTCAAACCCTCTAGTCTTAATACCCAAAGGGAATGATCAATTCATCAATTCTGCTCCCTAACAAAACATACTTTCATCTCAACAAGGGTTTTGGTTCTTTTTCAGGAGACAAGACCTTATTCCAAGATGGCTTCTAGTCATCATTCTAGTCATCATTCTGAAAAGCCTACCAGCAGGATATTTTGCCTCTCGAATCATACCCAGTAGACAAAAACTCATGTCATTTTTTAACACCATTTCCTCACACTTAGCACAGGGGTTCGAGAGCTACCTGGTCAAAAAGGATGGCAAATATCCACTACCCCTGTTTTCACAAGTCACCCTCCTATTTACACCCCTCTCTCCCTAGAGAGAAATTAGGGTCGTCTGGGGACAGTGTAATTGACATCTTTGCTTTTTGACTGCGTGCTTTCCTTTCCCCTTTTCCTGAAAACAGTACTGCCACCACCATGAAGTTCCAGGAGCTGCCAGCCACAGTACACTTTAGCCCTGGTGGACATGGGTCCGGGCTGGCACCATTAAGTACTATATCCCCCTGGATACAGTGGCTGGGCCAAAGAATGAACATGGGACCCAAGTGAACCCATCAAAGTTTTCCAAATCGGAGATGAAAGGATAACTAGATCTTTCCTTCAGATTGTAAACTGTAAGAATGCAATCCCTGACCTACCAGCGACATAGTTCCCCAACTCACAGAGAAGCCAGAGAGAATGCAGTCCACACATATATACACATCCTGAAATGAGAGAAGATGGGCAGAGACAGTGAGTCCTGTTGGGGCTGGAGCCCCCCGCTTCATTCAGCACTTTCTTTCCATGGTTTGGTTGTTGGTTTCTGGATTAAACAAGTTTGATTTGGATTTTTGTGACTTAAATCCAAAGGAACTGAATACAGCCACCATCAAAACAATATTCTTCATATATTACAAATACCTAACTTAGAAGGAGCTACATGAAGTTTACGCTCTTCACTTTTTTTTTTTTTTTTAATTCTCCCCTGCACTGTCATAGATCATAGATAGAATGGGAGCAATTACTGCCATCTGAATGAGGTCTTTGCTTCAACTGGTCCCACACTGAGTTGCATATCTATTTGTTCATGTCATGGTAACTTTTACAGGATTTAATTGATTTTGACCCTAAACTACTATAGTACAAAAGACAGAGATCAAGATATTCCAAATGGATGTAATTTCTGGTCTTTTCAATTAATTTTGATTAATCTATTAAGTCAAAAGAAGACAGCAATGTGTGCTTGGAATGAATAATGCCTATAATTCACAGACCCACTCCTAAGTCTCAAGTTAGGAATGAGGTACTGAAAATTTACTAGAGGGATTAAATAACTGGACCAAAGTTGCTTAATTATTAGAGTAACCAGTCCAGACTTCCACTCTCAAAATTCTACAAAGGACCAAAATACTGAGCTTATTTCTTCCCTAACACCTACACAAGTGAATATACAACTTTGGATGGTCTTTCTGTTCATCTGCCATTAATTAATTACCTTGCCTCCATCCTTAAAATCCTCAGAGGAGAAAAATATAAAAAACATTTTTATTTAAACTAAAGAGAAATCTATCAAGGTTTTGCTAAATTATTTCACTAATGACTTCTACTGAAAGTCTGTCCTCTGAGTGTGATAAGATTATACCCAGGAATGAAACAATACCCTTAAACCACAGGTTTACAGATAAAATAGATTCTTTATGAGGACATTGGGGAGAATTCTTTTTAAATGAAGGCTGTAAAATTCATATAGTTCCTTCTCAGTTAGGTACTTGTAATATATTAAGACTCTTACTTTGGACATGGCCAATAGTTTCAAGTCACATAGCCTTCTAAATTGTCATATATACCAATAAGGGCACAATGGAATGTGATGTGGTACTTGTTTATACATTAATATTTTATATTCCTCCCTATGATGCAATTTCTTCCAAGCAAAAAAATGTCTATTATGTCCACAATTTAAAAATAAAAAATGACAATTTACAAAGTTTTTAGGATATCTCATTTATTTAATTAGCAATAAACCCAGATAGAAATTATTTCCAAATTACATGACACAGCAGAAAATTCACAATTACGCAAAATGTAGTATGTAGTATGAATATGACTAATGAACAGAAAATGGTTTAGTTGCTTCAAGTGAAACAAAAATTTCAGTGTGATGCTGTGGCTGAAATAAAAACCTTAAGAAGAAATAGTTTTAAAAATGGATGAGGGAGTTCTCTGGTGGTCTAGTGGTTAGGATTTGGTGCTTTTACTGCCGTGGCCCAGGTTCAATCCCAAACTTGTTTAATCCAGTAGATTTGGGGGAAATCTACTTTCTCCCAAATAATGGCAGTGCTATAAGAGCAGAAAATCTGGCCAAGTAATAGGAAAAAATAAGATGTCTGCATGCCAACAAATGCGTATTTTTTTTAAATTAAAGTATAGTTGATTTATATTATTGTGTTAGTTTCAGGTGTACAGCAAAGTGATTCAGTTTTATATCTTTTTTTCAGATTATTTTCCATTATCAGTTATCACAAGATAGTGAATATTGTTCCCTGTGTTATGCAGTAAATTCTTGTTGCTTATCTATTTTACGTATAGTAATTTGTATCTGTTAATCCCATACTCCTAATTTATCTCTCCCCCCTTCCCTTTCCCCTTTGGTAACCACAAGTTTGTTTCCTATGTGTGTGTGTTTCTGTTTTGTATATAGATTCATTTGCATTATTTTTTAGATTCCACATATAAGTGATATCATATAATATTTGTCTTTCTCTTCCTGACTTACTTCACTTAGTATGATATTCTCTAGGTCCATCCATGTTGCTACAAATGGCAATATTCCCTTCTTTTTTATGGCTGAGTATACACCCATATATTTATGTGGATATATATACCATATCTTAAACCAAATCTGGGTTGTTTCCATGTCTTGGCTCTTGTTAATAGTGCTGCTATGAACACTGGGGTACACTGTATCTTTCTGAATTAGAGTTTTCATCTTTTCCAGATATACGCCTAGGAGTGGAATTGCTGGATCATATGGTAGCTCTCTTTTCAGTTTTTTAAGGACCTCCATACTGTGTTCCGTAGTGGCTGCCTCAATTTACATTCCCACCAACAGCAAATGCACAGTCTTGAAGAGTCAAAAGCCTGATGCTACTAGTTTTTCCTAAAATGAATAATTATAAGGCACATCTTAATTAAAAGCACAAACTGAAGAATAAATGAGTGCTTACCCAGTCTGATGTTCTGTGCTCGTTCACGGAGCTGATTTACTAGTGCTTTCATCTGCTCGTAGTTTTCCTAAAACAGAAGCAAAGAAAAACAGGGAGAGTATTATAGGAAAGCAATGATTTTTTTTACCATAATAAGGGTTAAGGAGAACAGCATTACATGCCAACCCCATGTGGCCTCCACACTGGGCCACTTTGCCACCTGTGTGGCCTCTGTGCTGGGCCAACTCCAACGTGTAAAAAAGATTAATTTATGCCTCTCTGTCTTTGCTCAAGCTCTTCTGCACTACCACCCCCCTCTCTGGTCCATCTATCCAAATCTCACCCCCCTTTTAAAGCCTAACTGATGTTCCATCTCATCTCCAACAAAATTTCTGGCTACTCCCATTCATTTTAACAACTTCCTTCCTTACACATCTACAGAACTTAATTGATCTCTAGTATTTGTTTTCTTTTGTCAATGAATATAAGCCCTTTGAGGGTTAGAATGCCATCTTATTTTTTCTGTCCCCTCAACCACTATCGTGAGGAGATTCCAACCAATGCAGAAATACTTGTTTTACACTTACTGACAAATTACAGTAATTACTTACTTACAGTAAGTAATTAAAAACAAAGCCCAGGGGGAAAATGGATCCTATTTTAAAAAGGAACAGGGGGGAATTCCCAGGTGGTCCAGGGGTTAGGATTCTGGGCTTTCACTGCCAATGGCATGGGTTCAATCCCTGGTTGGGGAACTAGGATCCCATAAGCCACATGGCACGGCCAAAAAATAAAAAAATAAAATAATCCCAGCCTCCTTTTTCAGACAAGTGTGGCCATGTGACTAAACTCTAACCAATGAGATATAAGCAGAAGTTGTTAGGTATGACTTCTAGAAAGGCTCCTTAAAAAAAAGGACAAGAAGGTGAGGGTGCCCTTCTACCTATTCACCCTTTCTCCTCCTTTGCACATGGAACTCAGACACAATAGCTGGAGCTTAAGCAGCCATATTAGACCATAAGGTAAACTGTACTACTTATTTTAAATTCTTCCTTCCCTCCCATCCTAGCCAAGGTTCACTGTGAGATTATACTTCCCTACCCCACAGTCTCTGAATCTGTCCGTATTACTTGCTTTGATGAGTGGAATGTGGGCAAAAGTGACAGTGTACCAATTGCAAGAAGAGGCTTTAAGAAGGACAAAGTGTTTCCATGCTCTCCTCTTTGTGCCCCAGCCTTCCATTACGAGAGGAGCATCCCACAGCAGCCACTGCCCCTTCATTCTGGGTCCTGGAATAATAAACAAGTAGAGCAGACCTGAATCTACTACAGTCCTAGAGCAGAACTGCCACAACCAACCCATAGATCCAAGCACAAAAAATAAATACTTGTTCTTTTGAACACTGAGATCTTGGGATTGGTTGCTACTCAGCATTACTGAAGCAAAATCTGGCTAATACAGTAATTAGTCCAAGGTCACTCAGCTAACAAGTAGTAGAATTAGGATTTAAACCAAAATCCACCAACTCCAGAAACTCACTCTTAAAGCAACATGCTACAATGTCTCTTCTGCCCACTGAAAGGGCCACTGTTGACACTTTAGCACATTTCCACCAGGTCTTTTTCCCCCTATGGAAATATGTTGCTTGTTAGCTTTTAAACATACATGAAATACTAAGCCAGTGCTTTTTCCACCACAGCACAGCTACTTTCTTATTCTAATTACTGGTGCACAGACTGAACCAGAACATAAAACATTTTACATAGAGAAAGAAGTTATAATCTCAGGCTCACACTCCCTAACCCCTAGCTAGCAGCCACCATCAAATACATCAGCCAAGACCTGACTTCAAAAAGATGGCAGAGCAGGAAGCTCCAGGCCCTTATTCCCCCACAGAGACATCACAAAACAACCCAAAACTGGCTAAAGTAACCTTACAGGAGCTCTGGAAAACACTCAGAGGTCTACAGCAACCAAGAGAACACCCAGCCAAGAAGCCACATTCAGAATGGTGGGAAACCCATTCTCCACACTGCAGCCACACTGATTATTCTACCATGTCCATAGGATCATGCCACTTCTCTACTTAAACATCTTAGCAGACAGACTGCAAAATGAAATCTAAATGTGGCTTCTACACATGGCTTCCCTCCTCTACCTGGCTGCATAAGCAATCCCATCTACTCCATGAATTCGTCACCCTGGCCGGGACTTCCAAGTTCTCACTCCCACTAACCACTTTCATAACTTGGTACCTATGTTCTCATAACTCCTTTAGTTTGTATAATCTTGCCTCCCATTCTCCATCCTGAACCTGGCCAGTTCTTACCCAACTCAAGATCCAACTCACTCACTGCCTCCTATGTGCAACCACCTTTTTTAAGCTTTAGACATCACTCATCACAATGCATTGCTTTCTTGTCGTCTCCCCCACAAAATTATGATTCCATTCCTACACATCTATTCCAAATATCTAAAATAGTGGCTAGACCACAGTAACCACTTAATGTTTCTGAATTAAACATTCTCTCCTGATCCCAGGACATCTAAAGACTTTTGGAAGTCTCCCATTGGATACTGTTTCTGCCTCAGCCTGCTGATTTCCTTTCAATCAAAATCTCCTTGTTTTCCCAAAGGCAGGAATTGTTTAAAATGTGTTCTCTGAGGGAACTTCCTGGCGGTCCAGTGGTTAAGCCTCTGAGCTTCCAATGCAGGGGGTGCGGGTTCGATCCCTGGTCGGGGAACTAAGATCCCACCTGCCGCAGCAGCGCAGCCAGAAAAAGTCTTCTCTGAAAGTTATTTGCACAATTTAAATGTTATCTGTACAGGCTTAGAAACCATGGGACAGACTGAAAATTTCCAGCTCTGATATTTCACAAACCAGGAGTTGTTTCTTTAACGTTGTGATACCTCCCAATTCCAAGAAAAGTCATTTAAAGATAAATATTTTCTATTAACATAACCAACCATTTCAAGTCTGGTAAGCACAACCCAGGGTCAGCTGTGCTAGGCCAGTGGTTCCCAAAGCTGGCTGCCACCAAGGCCCTGCCCTCCCCTCTCAACAACTTCATTAACAATGCAAACACCAGGACCCCACCCTAGAGACGGAAAAGGTCCAGGGTGGGGCTAAGGCAGCCATATATTCAACAAGCTCCCAGGTGACTGCTAAGCCAGAGAGCCACTGGTTTTGCGAACCAATGATTTTAAAGATACAAAGTATAGTGCCAGTGCTAAAAGTGAACTAAAATGTACCTGATTTGGAATTGTTTTCTTTTTCAAACCTCACGACCCCCTGGTGTGTCCCAGAATCATGACTGGGGATCCAGAGAAAACAGCAGCGACTGCTGAAGTGTGCCTACCCTGTACCTGCTTCCCAGTCTGGCCAACGCCTTGTGCCGTCGGTGAAGAGGAATCACTGACTCGGGCTGGGTACTCCAGGCCCGGGCCGCTCACCCGCCCTACCTGGTAGATGGCAGAGCTCGAATCCGGTTGGGTGCCCAGCGTCGCCACGGAGTCCCCATGATAGGCGCGCGGCGCGGGGGCAGCGGCGCGGGCGCACCGCCGCAAAGCTAATCTCGGGGCGGCCCACATGGCAGCAGGCACAGAGGCAGGAAGGAGCGTGAGAGAGCGGCCTGCGCCGGTCCGGGGCCGCGGCTTTCCCCTCCAATTCCCACGCTTCGGGATACAGCTCAGCCCAGGCCTTTGCAGTCCCAACCCGCCTGAAACCTCCCCGATTCTGAGGCCAGCCTCGGCACGTGCCGGCGCACGCCGCCCGTGATTGGTCAGCGCTGAGCACCACGCCCCCTGAATTCAGCGAATAAGGGACAGAAGTGCAGCCCCGCGAGGCCTGTCCCATCGCGAGCCCCGGAGCGTTGCGGTTCCCGGGGTGGAGCGACCCTTCTGCGTCCTCCCGGTCTCCCGAGATGCTGAGCTTAGGAGCTGCGGCTGAGTTTGCTTGCTGTCGGCCTCTGTGCTTTTTCTATGTGCTGTTTTCTTCTTCCCCTGCTGCTACGAAGGGTGTTCCGGGGCTTGAAAAAGCTTATCCTTATATGAGAGCTGGAAACTGAACAGGCTTATTAAGCTGCCCTAAGAAACTCTTTAAGGGGATAACCATTCATTAATCAAATATGTCTTTAATGTCCCCTGTCAAGTGCTCTTCTGGAGCGGGGAATACAGTGGAGAACAGGCAGTGTCCTCTTTTATAAAGCGGAGAGAACATAAACAAGTAAATAAAAATTCTAATAGTGATAAATTACAACTTAGATGTACAATTATAACGTACTTCTAAAACTTTGCCTATAACAAATCTGAGCTTCCTCACAATTTCTCATCCACTGGACAGTGAGAAAAAATTAATCTTCTTTTGGTCCACTTAAGTCTTAGATTTAATTTTTGTATATGGTGTTAGGTAAGGGTGTGGCTTCATTCTTTTGTATATAGATATCCAGTTTTCCCAATATCATTTGTAGTAAAGACTGTCCTTTCCCCATTGAATAGTCTTGGCACCCTTGTGAAAAATTATTTCATAAGCAATGATTTATTTCTGGACTCTGTATTCTGTTCCATTGGTCTGTATGTCTGTCTTTATGCCAGTACCACACAGTTTTTTGATTACTGTAGGTTTGTAGTAAGTTTTGAAATCATTAAGTGTGAGTCTTCCAGCTTTGTTCTTTTTCAAGATTTTTTTAGCTATCCAGGATCCCTTGAGATTCCATCTTAATTTTAGGGTAGGTTTTTCTATTTCTGCAAAAAATGCCAGAATTTTTATAGGGGCGGCATTGAATCTGTTGATCATGTTGGGTAGCATTGACATCTTAACAATATTAAGTCTTCCAATCCATGAACATGGGATGTGTTTCCATTTATTTATGTCTTCTTTAATTTCTTTCAGCAGTGTTTTTTCATTTCCATTGCGCAAGTCTTTCACCTCCTTGGTTAATTCCTATTTTATTCTTTTTGATGCTATTGTAAATGGAATTGTTTTCATAATTTCCTTTTCAGTTTGTTCATTATTAGTGTATAGAAATGCAACTGATTTTTGCATGCTAAGTTAGTATACTGCCAATTTGCTGAATTCATTTATTAATTCTAACAGGTTTTGTGTGTGTGTGTGTGTGTGTGTGTGTGTGTGTGTGTGTGTAATCTTTAGGGCTTTGTAAAAGCCATCTGTGAATAGAGATAATTTTACTTTTTCCTTTCCAATTTAAATGTCTTTTATTTCTCATTCTTACCTAATTGCTCCAGCTAAAACTTCTAGTACTATGTTGAATTGAAGTGGTGAAAGTGAACATCCTTGCCTTTTTCCTGGTCTTAGAGGAACACTTTTCAGCCTTTCACCATTGAGTGTAATGTTTGCTGTGAGTTTTTCACATGTGACTTTTTTTTTTTTGGCTGCATTGGGTCTTCATTGCTGCGCGCGGGCTTTCTCTAGTTGTGGTGAGCGGGGGCTACTCTTCGTTGCGGTGCACAGGCTTCTCATTGTGGTGGTTTCTCGTTGCGGAGCACGGGCTCCAGGCGCGCGGGCTTCAGTAGTTGCGGAGAGCTGGTTTCAGTAGTTGTGGCTTGCGGGCTCTAGAGCACAGGCTCACTAGTTGTGGCATACAGGCTTAGTTGCTCCGCGGCCTGTGGGATCTTCCTGGACCAGGGCTCGAACCCATGTCCCCTGCGTTGGCAGGGGGATTCTTAACCACTGCGCCACCAGGGAAGTCCCTCACATGTGGCTTTTATGATGTTAAGGAGGTTTCCTTCTATTCCTAGTTTGTTGAATATTTTTATCATGAAAAAGTTTGAATTTTGTCATCTACTTTTTCTGCATCAATTGAGATGATCATGTGAAGTTTGTTCCTTCATTCTGTTAATGTTGTGAACTACATTGATCAGTTTTTTCTATGTTGTACCATCCTTGCATTTCAGGAATAAACCTCACTTGGTCATGATATATAATCCTTTTAGTACGCCGCTGAATTCAGTTGCCAGTATTTTATTAAGGATATTTGTATCAGTGTTCATAAGGGATATTGGTCTATAGTTTTTTGGGGTTTTTTTTTTGTTTTGTTTTGTTTTTTTGTAGCGTCTTTGTCCTGCTTTCACGTCAGGATAATGCTGGCCTTATAGAATGAGTTAGGGAGTGTTCCCTCCTCTCCAAGTTTTTGGAAAAGTTTGAGAAAGATTGGTATTTGTTCTTCTTCAAATGTTTGGTAGAATTCACCAGTGAAGCCATCATATTCAGTGCTTTTCTTTGTGGGGAGATTTTTTGATTACTGTTTAGTCTTCTTACTAGTTATAGGTCTATTCAGGTTATCTATTTCTTTGTGATGTAGTCTTGGTAGGTTTTGTTTCTAAGAATTTGTCCATTTCATCTAGATAATCCAATTTGTTGGTGTTCAGTTGTCCGTAGTATTCAGATTTACTTTTTACATTTTTCTTTATTAATTTTCATTTTTAAGGGAATACAATAATTCAACTTTTATCATGAAAATAAAGGTATTTTTTACCTCCTTCTCTCAGAAATGATCCCAGAGCAACAAAGGAACACAAAAAATAATTCATATCCCACCTTCAATTAAACTAGGGGATATATAAAGACAATAGGCAAAAATTGGAATAATAAATTTGGCAAAATAAAGGAAGTTGAAATCTAAGTGCTTGCAGTGGAAAATACAAACAAGTAACAAGTCAATTTGCCTCTCAGAATTGGTGGTACCAGGAATTGGTGGTACCAGGTACAGAGAAATATGTGCATAGAAGTGGAGAAAGGTGGTAGAGACCAAGAAATGGTAGAACTACTTGAAAATTTGCAGAAGAAGTAGTTAAAACCCCAGGTTTCCACCCCCCAGTCTGTCCAGGAGATATATATTCTCTGGAGAAACTGAATCTGAAATGTTCCAAATTTAGGGACACTAGGCACTGGTGAAGTGCCAAATTGAGACCAGAGAGATTAAGTGACAGTCTGAAGGCCAAATCAAGACAGCCCCTCCCCCCAAGTCTCTTTTCCCACCCAGTTCCAAAATGCTGGCTACCAGATTTATATAGAAGGGAGTCTAGAGAAACCTTACCATTTTACAGAAAAGATCTACAAAGTGACATTTGAGGTTCTCCAGTGAAAAAACTCCCTGGAAGATTGATCTACAGGGATTTCCCTGGGGGTCCAGTGGTTAAGACTCCCTGCTCCCAATGCAGGAGGCCCAGGTTCGATCCCAGGTCAGGGAAATAGATACTGCATGCTGCAACTAAGACCCAGTGCAGCCAATTTAAAAAAAAGCAACATTTAAAAAAGAAAATTGGGGCTTTCCTGGTGGCGCAGTGGTTGAGAGTCCACCTGCCTATGCAGGGGACACGGGTTCGTGCCCCAGTCCGGGAAGATCCCACATGCCGCGGAGCAGCTGGGCCCGTGAGCCATGGCCGCTGAGCCTGCGCATCCAGAGCCTGTGCTCCGCAACGGGAGAGGCCACAACGGTGAGAGGCCCCCGTACCGCAAAAAAAAAAAAAGAAAAGAAAAAAAACAAAAAAGAAGAAAATTGACCTACAGTGTAACCTACAAACTGACATATCCTACCTACCCTCCAATAAGCTTGTAAAAAGCTCCTAATCAGCTTTTTTAGACACTTTCTCGAACATATGCATGGATAGCCAAGGATCAATGGGCATTTGAAGAAAGCTTTCTGTTGCAGTTCCATAATGGTTAACACTCTGGACTCTGAAGAAAGCTTTCAATACGAAAAAAAAAAAAAAAAAAAAAACCAGAAAGAAAGAAATGTTTAAAAGGAAAAGAAAAAGACACCCACTACCACCAAGAAAACAAAAACAAACAAACAAAAAAGAAACCATCAGGGCAAGGAACAGAAGAAACTATAACATCCTTGGAGAAATGAAAATATATTGCATCCATCAAAGACCAGGATTATGAAAAAATTTTAAAAAGCTTTTGAAAAAAATATAAAATCAAGAATTCCTTGGCTGGGGGACTTCCCTGGTGGTAGTGGTTAAGAAAGAGCCTTCCAATGCAGGGGACGCAGGTTCGATCCCCGGTTGGGGAACTAAGATCCCACATGCCATGGGGCAACTAAGCTCGTGCGCCACAACTAAGAAGCTTGTGTGCCACAACTACGGAGACCATGCGCTCTAGAGCCCGCATGCTGCAACGAAGAACCCCATGTGCTGCAACAAAAATCACGTGTGCTGCAACTAAGGCCCAACACAGCCAAATAAATAAATAAATAAATAAGAATTCCTTGTCTAGAAAATGTAACAAAAGCTAGAGGTTACAGAGTTTAATTACCCATTTAATGAGAAAGTTCTTTTTCTTTTTTTGGCTGTGCCATGCGGGATGCAGAATCTTAGTTTCCTAACCAAGGATTGAACGTGTGCCCCTTGCAGTGGAAGCAGGGAGTCCTAACCACTGGACTGCCAGGGAATTCCCTAGGGAGAAATTATTAAAAGGATGGGAAAACAGATGTTCTAAGGAGATAAGATACTCT